GTGGGASGAGTTTGGGAGAGCTCTGGGAAACTCCTGCTCCATCCTCACCCAGCGCTGGGGGCACATCCTGGGGTGTGGGCAGCTTCAGGGGTGGGATGGGGGCTCCAGGGGGATCCCAGCTGGATCAGGGCTCAGGGCTCAGGGCTCAAAGGGTTTGAGTTCAGGGAGCCCTTGGATGCACAGTCCCTCCAAATGGTCTCGTTTGAAACCAACGTGCATCTTCTCCCAAACTTAATCATGGAATCCTGGGATGGTTTGGGGTGGAAGGGAACTTYGAGATCATCCCATCCCACCCCAGCCATGGGCAGGGACACCTCCCACTGTCCCAGGCTGCTCCCAGCCCCAATGTCCAGCCTGGCCTTGGGCACTCCAGGGATCCAGGGGCAGCCACAGCTTCTCTGGGCACCCTGTGCCAGGGCCTGCCCACCTCACAGGAAAAGATTTCTTGCTAAAATCTAATCTAAATCTAAATGTAATGTAAATTTAATCTAAATCTACCCTGTTTCATTTTAAAGCCATCCCCCCTTGTCCCTGTGCCACTGCCAAGCCACCCAAGGCCTGCAATCTCCATGATATTGATGTGTTCCAGGCTGGGAAGGGGAGGCTGAGGAGATCTCGGTGTCCTGCCCTCGGTGTCCGTCCGTCCATCCATCAGGGCAGGGTCAGGAGGTGGCTGTGGGGTCAGCTGCCTCTGCTCTGACCCTCTCCACATCCATTTCCAGCAGCTACCGGCTGAAACCCCAGGCAGGGACACACTGGAGCTCTGGTGGAAAAAAAACTGAGCAGCCGAGGGGAGCTTGGAGGAGTCATTGACCCCGAGTGGAAACTGCTGGAAAATGACTTTGCTGCCGTTCCTCTGCCCAGAGAACCCTTTTTCCCTGCCTGCCATTTATTTTCCCTCTGTAATCACTGTGGACGCCTTGGCGTGCACAGGAGTTCTGCGCTCTTTAAGGTCAAAATCCCCGAAGTTTGTAAATCTGAGCCCTTTAAAAAGATCAGATGTGTGGAAATAGTTTACACACACAGAGCCTGGTGGGAGCAGAGCGGGAACTCAGCTGGGAGAGGAACTTGGTGATCTCAGCCCCTTCGCTCCTGATTTTCTCTGGTCAGGTCCCCCTTAGCACTGAACCCATCCAGGGTGATATCAGGGGGTTTTATCCTCTTGTCTCTCTGCACTCYCATCCCCAGGGATGTCAGGGAGCTGGAGGGGTTTGAAGGAACCACGGATCCTCTTTGCCTCACAAAGCTGAKCTTCCCCAGATAAAAGCTGTCCCTGTGCGAGGCCAATTCCCCCTCTCTGCTCTGCAGATGCTGCAGATGCTGCAGACACAATTCTCCAGGGTGGCTTCACCTCCTGGCAGTGTTTAAAACTCAAACCATAACGCCCTGCCTGCTCCCCCGGGAGGGGAATCAAAGGYGGCTCCGTGGGCGCGGGACGAGGACGAGCAGCGCACGTGGCAGCCGTGTCAGGGGGCTTTGATGGGCTCGTAAAAACCAGCCCCAAATCCCAGCCTGGCCCCCGCTGCTGCTTTTGGGATTAAAGCCCTGGCATTCCCAAGCCGGGGCTCGGTGCTGGCTCCCACCCTGGCCCCTGCATGGGCAGCACTGAAGGACAGGGTTTGTTGCTGCAAGGTTTGATTAAAATCTTGCAAACAGGTTTCAGATGGCACTGAAAGCTGATCCCGGGGCAGCTAAGCAGGGCTTGTTGCTTTTGTTGCCGAAATTCTGCTTGGGTCTGACCCTTAGGCACCCCGGGCTGGAGGTGRAGGGCTGGAGGACATCACCAGGGCTGCATTTGCCTCTGTGGGAAGGAATTTCCCTGCACCCAGCAAGSTTCAGAGAATTGTAGGATATTCCAGGTTGGAAGGGATTCACAGGGATGGCTGAGTCTGACTCCTGGCCCTGCACAGAGCTGGGTGAAGCTCACGGTGCTCCCTGCRCATAAAACCCCAATGTTTAGGTAAATTCAGAATCGCCACAGCAGCAGGAGCAGAGTTTTGGGTAAGAGCTGTCCACCCACCTCATCTTTCTCAAGTCACCCATCTGAGCCTTGTCCCCAAACACATCTGCAGAGCTCCACACTCACGGTCAGTTTTCCCTGGGTGAATTTTCCCCACTCTGGGACTCTGCTGACCCAGCCAAGGCTCGGGGTTTTGGGGCTGCTTTGTCCTCRGCTGAAATGTGAACAAGTGCTGTGACCTCACGGGGGAAACGCAGATGATGCCTAAATCTGCCGAGCACAGTGTATTTTGCAGAGGCCTTGAAACGCACATTTGTGTTGATTTGGGTGTTTAAATAGAAACCCTCCTCTGCCATGTTTTTTTTTAAATTTGGAAACAGTCTGTTTGCTTCCCTGTGACCTCTCCCCRGGAATCACTTTCAAGTCTCCCCTGTTCTGACAGGTTGTTTGTGCAGAGCTCAGTGTTCGCCTTCCTAAACCGAAACCTTATCCCCCCGCTACTGAAAAATTGATTYGCTGGGTTTGTGCAAAGCCAACCCCATGGGTCCTGCGGGACGAAACAGTGGGATCAGGGCTGGGCCTCGCCATTGCAGAGATAAAAATACCATTTGTCATCCTGCTCTCGGTGGCTTGGCTATGGGGGTCACCTCTGCCCAGGTTTTCACGGGTGATTCTGTGTTAAAATTGGGGTTAGAAATGTTCTCAGCCTGGCTCTGACTCATCTTTCCAGAGCAGGAGCAGGGAGCTGCCCTTAGAGCTGATTCCTGGGTGGTCCCTGTGACCACAGAGCRGGGAGAGCAGAGCATTCAAATGTAACTTGAGGATGCAGCGAAAGGGGCACAGAGCCACTTTCTCCCTGTGTTATCTCAAGCAGCAGATGGGGAGCAGAGATAGCGACGGTGGCTGCTCATTTTCCGTGCCCTCTCCAGCCAAATCCAGTAAATAATGAGGTGTAATTTGCCAAATGGCCTTTGGATGTGGGATTTGCTTTTGAAGGTCCTGATCCTGCTGCTGTGGAGGCAATCCTGGATTTGTGTGGTGGGCTGAGGGCAGGAATTGTGTCCTGAGAGACTCTGTGTCAGGAATTTCACTKCTCTTACCTGAGCCAAGAGTCTGCAAATCATTCCTTGAGAGCTGTGGGGACCTGGGTGGAGGGAATTGCAAAGGGAAGGAGGGATTTTTGAATTGGGACTGGGAGGCAGAAGGGCAGAAGTGAAGTCAGAGAAGTTTGATCTGTTTGGCCAGGCAGTGGAATTGCATTGGGAGCATCCAGAGGGTGATTTGGRGATGCTTTCTCACCCTCACCCTTCAGAGCTGTGTGTCGAGGTTTATCCATGGAATCACAGGATCCTTTGGGTTGGGAAGGTCCTTCAGTGATGGAGTCCATCCATTCCCCATCCCCAGCAGGCCACCACTGGCCCATGGCCCCAAGAGCCACATCCACAGTTGTTTGACACTTCCAGGGATGCTGACTCCATCCCTGCCCTGGAATTCAATTCTATTCTATTCTATTCTATTCTATTCTATTCTATTCTATTCTATTCTATTCTATTCTATTCTATTCATTCCATTCCATTCTCCAGCCTCCAGATTCCCACTAGAAAAAAACCCCAGTGCTGGGTTGTTTGGTCTTTAAACGACACCTGTGAGTTTGGCTGGGGAGGGCTGGAGTGGAGCAGGAATTCCAGACTGGGGCAGACTGGGAAGCTGCTGGGCTGGCATTTCCCAGGGGCTGCAGTGCTGTTTCTCTCCCTGACTCCGTGTTTTTTCAGGGATGCACCAACACTGCCTGGAACAAGCCCTCAGCAGCATTTTGCAGGTGTAAAGGTTTATTAAATCAGCGGCTTAATGATCTTGGAAGGATGGAAAGTTGCAGTGGCAGAGTTTCCACAAGACAGAGAATTCTTTGATTTTCAATGTCTGCGTCCAGATATTCATGGGAACACCAAAGTCTTTGCCCATGGTGTCATTTTTCCACTGAGTTTTYATGGAAAAAATTCCACTAGGCTGCAGTGCTAAACCACCCTCAGGTGGAAGATTTCCATGGGAGGCAGACCAAGTGCAGTTTTGGAGATGGTGGCTGTTTAAGGCTTTCCTTCTCCATCAAAGATGTTTTTCAGGAATACTGAAAGTACGGGAAAAAGAGCCAAACCTTTATTCAAATTTTTTTGCCTCAAATAATTGCTTTTGTTTGCGAGACTCTTTGGCTACAAAGACGAGCCTCCTTCCAAATAAATTAGAAAAAGGGATTAAAAAAGGAAAGGAAGAGGTTTCCTCCTCGTCAGGGTTTACTCCAGGCCTGGCTCTTGGCTTTGCTGTCCCATGGGATGGCTGGCGTTGGCCGTGACTCATCCGTCTCCGTGCCATGGATGCACATGACGTAACTCTGGGCTAATGTGGGATTTTCCAGCTCTTTGTTTTYCTTCCCCTCTCAAATGGGTTTTCTGCTGCTTCTCCTCCTGTCCCAGCCTGCTGTCAGCTCGCTTTTTCATGGAGTCATAGAACCATGGAATGGTTTGGGGTGGAAGGGACCTTAAAGCTCATCCCATTCCAACTCCTGCCATGGGGAGGGACACATTCCACTGTCCCAGGTTGTTCCAGCCTGGCCTTGGGCACTGCCAGAGATCCAGGGGCAGCCACAGCTTCTCTGGGCACCCTGTGCCTGGACCTCACCACCCTCCCAGGGAACAATTTCCTAGGATAAATAATTTTCTAAGATTCTTGAATTTTCTCCTTGTTTTTATTCAGACTGGGATGATGGAGCGATAATTCARGGATGCTTTTCTCCCTCTTTTTTGCTCACCCTGCTGTGGGACTCTTTGCCTTCCTTGGTGCCTGGAGCTGCTGAGCCATTTCCCAGCTCCAGAGCTCCATACACATCTGGAATGCTGAAGCTCAGCAGGCTGGAAAGGCCTTGGTGTCATCATCCAGTGGCACATTCCAGAGGCACAGGGACACCACGTGCACCTGGCCAGTGTTCTGTGTCATCTTCCCCAGCCCCATGTCCTCATGGCTGTGTTTCTCTCCTGCTTCTTTCAGACATGGAATGTGCAGATGTGCCTTTATTAACCCCCAGCAGCAAAGAAATGATGTCCCAGGCGCTGAAAGCCACGTTCAGYGGCTTTGCCAAGGAGCAGCAGCGGCTGGGAATTCCCAAAGGTAAGACATGAGAGGCACCACGGGATCCACAGCGATTGTGTCCTCCTGCCAGGCTGCCCAGAATCCTCCCTGTTTGCTGTGGGTTCTCCTTGGATGGTATTGCCCTGGGAACAACACCTGGAGCTTCTGGGGAGCTTCAGCTGGAAAAACGTGGACAAATCCACTGTATGGAGAAGCAGCAGGGACCTTTTACCACAGGATAGTGACAGGGAAAAACTGAGGAAATTGAAAAAAGGGGTGGGAGAAGTGAGTCAGAGAATTGATGGGATTTTTAGAAGTCYCAAACAAAGCCAAAGCTCATTCGTGGGCTGAAATGCACTTGCATTAGGGCTGGTCCAAGCTGGACATRGTGTTGCTCACACCCTGATGCCAGCAGGCTGCCAGTCTCCGTGGGTGAGGGCAGGGCAGCCAGAGCACTGTTTGTGCTCTGTTTGCCTGGGAAAGCTGCCTGGGGATGCTCAGTGCTGGATCCCTCTGCAGATCCACAGCAGTGGACGGAGACGCACGTGCGGGACTGGGTGATGTGGGCAGTGAACGAGTTCAGCCTGAAGGAGGTGGATTTCCAGAAGTTCTGCATGAATGGAGCTGCCCTCTGTGCCCTGGGCAAGGAGTGCTTCCTGGAGCTGGCGCCTGATTTTGTGGGAGACATCCTCTGGGAACACCTGGAGATCCTGCAGAAAGGTGAGTCCTGGAGAGTCCCGCGTGAACAATTCATGCCATGCTGGCCAGGCAGATTTGGGGCTTTCCACACACCAGGAGCTGTTCACCTTGAGCTTGAATGCCAGGAAAAAACAWCTTCCAGAAGCCAGCTTTTCAGCAGGGTTCCAAATGGGCATCCCAACGGCAGTGGGCAAGGAGAATGCTGGCAGTGCCTCCGAGAGGCAGTGTTTGTGCCAGCTTTTGGCAGGAATCCCCAGTGGGCAGGGATGCTCTGACTGCCTGGAATCCATGGTGGGATTTTCCAAAGCGTTTTTCCTCAGCCTGTTCAGCTCCTCTTGTGAATTTTACTATTTCCTCCATTGGAACTGGGTATGGGAATACAGCCAAAATCCTGCCCAAATTTCCCAGTGGCGAYTGGAAGCCGCTTTGCTTTGTTCCATGTCCCCAAAAAAGGGTGTTTCATGTCCCAAAAAAGGCATTTTTTTGAGGAGGAGGAGCCATTCCCTGCCTGACAGCATCCAAGGGTATTAACTATCAGTGACTGGGGACACACACTTTGATTTTGGGTGTTGATTTTCCGTGTCTGGATGCCCAGGAACACTGGGTTGATTTCTCAGGAAGTTGAACACCTCTACCTGAGCCACGAGCAGGAGCTGCAGCAYACCTGGGCTCTTTCTCCAGCTCCTTTCTTTTTTTTTATTTTTTCTTTATTTGCATTCCTGGAATGTCCCCTATGCTGTCCTACTGACCCTGCTGGCAGGAAGGGGAGGGGAGCACAGTTATTCCTTCCAGGAAACCATGGACAAATGGATGTTAATTGCCCATTCCTAATTTTATTGCTACCTGTGGTTTGCAGAAGGTAAACATGGCCTTTCCTGGGCTCTGGGCAGGCCAGGCTGTTTTCTTGCTCTTGGGCTCTAAATCTGGTCTGTCCCTTTTGTTTTGCATATTTTTCATGGAGTGCTTGGATCAACACTGMGCAGTTTAACCAAACAAAGCCATACCTTGTGGTCAGACCCATTTCTCCTTGCAAGGAGCCATTGCTGTACCTTCCCACAGCCTTTCTTTCTCGCAGTCCCTGCCCATGGTTGGGAAGAGSTGAYCTTCAGGGTCCTTTCCAAGCCAGCCCATCCCAGGATTCTGTGATTCTGTGATTTTTTGGGTTTTGAGCTGCTGGAGAGGGTGGGATGTGCTGCAGGTACTGACTGAGGCACCAGGGCTGCGTTGGCACCTCCTTCCTGCAGATTCCTCACAGATGGAAAAGGAGAGGAACTTGAAGCTGTAAATTCATGGCAAAGTGGGAATCATTTCCACACAGACACYCGTGGCTATTCAGGCACTGCTGGTGCAAAAGGTCAGGGACAGGGAGAAGCTTTTACAAAGGAGCTGGAACTCTTTGTGCCTTCTTCAGCTTCTTCCTAAAGGCTGAAAAAGAATGAAGCAGAATTTCTGTGTCTTCACTCTGAGAGGAACCCTGAAACCTGTTCTCTTGTTTCACTGGTGACTCTGTTTGGTTTCACTGGTGACTTTGTCACTCTCACACAAGCAGGGCACTCTCTCCTCTGGTGGGCTCTGAACGCATTTCCCAGTGAGGTATTTGGGGGTAACCCAGAGCTTCCAAGCACTAACCAGCCTCCCCCCCAGACTGGTTTCTGTTCCTTGTAAATCCTGGCTCTTGTGGTGCTGGGAGCTGATCCCCAGCCCTGACCAGAGCTCTGCTGGAGCTGTGCACACAGAGCAGAGCTGTCCCTGTCACATCTCTGCCCACGCAGCAGGAGCTGGGGGCTCCCTCTGCACCTGCCTGGGATGTGGGAACAGATCCAAGTGTCTCCAGGGCTCCAGCTTGTCTCTCCATCTTCCCCACCATCATCACTGGGGCTGTGGGTGCTGCCAGTGGTGCTTAACCCCAAAATGTCTGGCTTTACCTGTCCCTTCAGCCCGGGGTCGTGCTGGGACAGGCTGTGACCCTGCTGTCCCCTGAGCTGACACCGTCCCCTGGGAGCACTGAGTGACTCACGTACCACAGGCCGCTCAGGGTTTAAAAACAGCAGATGGGCGCCTTTCCCCTGCGTGGATTTGGGTATTTTCAGGCTTATTTTTCCAAATTTCTTCCTAAAATAACCTCCTTGGTTACCAGCAGTCAGCAGTGCCCGGCGCTTGMCTGGAAGCGCAGCCCAAGGTTGTCCCCTGCTCTGTGGTCACCCCTGCCCCTTGGCAGACACCGTGGGGAGAGGAACYGAGCGTTTCTCATTAATCCTCTGTGTTTGCACAACCCCTCCTTTTGTCAGGGAATATTTTCCAGCCTGCAGTCCCCGGGGGACAGGGCCAAATTTAGGCTCCTCGCAGGCGAACGTGCGTTATCTGCGCTCGGCCTCTCCGGAGCCTGGGCACAAACAAACCCAGCCCAGAGCTGCCCTGGGGAATTGCTGCAGTTCAAGGCTAGAAAATCTCCCACCCCGGTATCCCTGCCCATGATGCCACGCTGCAATGAGTCAGGTGTTCATGGAAAAACTGTCAGGGTAGGGGCAGGGTGGATTTTATGTGGGAAAGCACATTCAGTGAAGCCCAGGAGGAGCAAAGTGCTCGGAAAAAGCCACGGGAGGCAGGGAATCCATGCTTTGATGTGATCCATGCTCTTTTCCAGTGAATTATGTCCATGGAAAGGCTGAAAGTTGGCATTCTGCCCCAATTTTCATGGAGGAATCTCTGTCAGGGACAGTGGGACAGAGCAGTTTTGGACATGGAATGTTCTGCCCCMACCAGGTGCTGCACAGGCTGGGAATTCCCATGGATTTGGGGTTAGAGRAGCAGAGTTTGGGATGTGTTCCCCACTCCCTCACACACCTACTGCTGCYCTGAAAACAGGGCTTTTCCAGGAAAACAATGGCCCCTGCATGGGGAGTTTTTGCAGGAGCTCACACATGGAAGTGTGATCAGCAATCCCCAGGAGAGGGAGAGGCGACAAAGCCTCAGGCGAGCGAGGAAATGATGCAGCTGAGAGTTCAGAGCACCTGGAGCTCTGACTGAGGAACTTGTTTGGGTTGGCTTTGTTTAAATTCGGCCATACCTGCAGCAGGAATTCCCAAAGTGCCTCGGGTTTCTGTGGGGTTTCAGCTCTGAATTCACTTCTGTTGCTTGGAATGTCCCAGTTTAACCCAGGGAGGAGATTTTGGGAAGTTCAGGGCTCTCTGTGTCACAACAAGCCTTGTGCCACCTTCGGCTGGGTGACATTTCCTTCCTTTCCTCTTTGCAGAAGAGGTGAAACCRTACCCAGCAAATGGAGTGAGCACCACCTACCCCGAGTCCCGCTACACCTCAGACTACTTCATTAGTAAGTTGCAATTAGCAGTGTCAATTATCAGCATTCTCATGCCTGGGAGCTCCTCCGAGCAGAGATTTGTCTACACCACAATTGGACTGCACCATGCAAAGAGTGGCGTTGTTTTTCTGAGGGTTTGGGATTTGTTTGGAAGCTTCTGTACCTTTTGGTGCCAAAATCTGATTTTTCAAGCATTATTTGTGTTTAACTGTAGCTCAGCAGACTTTCAAAGTGACCTCAGCGCACCTGAGTAGTGAGAATTATAAAAATCCTATTAAAAAATGTAGGGAAAGGAGGAAGAACGCTTCATTCTGGATTGCCAGGGAAGAGCCCAGCAGGGACAGGGRTGAGTCCCCAACCTGTGCTCCTGCACTTCCCATTGCCATTGCTTTGGGATGTTCTTTAAGAAAATCTGGGAGGTATTTTATGAACCAGCAAAAAAACCCACTGACCTGAAAAAGAGATATTTAGATCAGGTGTAAGGGAGAAATTCTTTACTCAGAGTGGGGTGAGGCCCTGGCASAGGGTGCCCAGAGAAGCTGTGGCTGCCCCTGGATCCCTGGCAGTGCCCAAGGCCAGGCTGGACRGSGYTTGGAGCASCCTGGGACAGTGGGAGGTRTCCCTGCCCATGGCWGGGGTGGCACTGGATGAGCTTTAAATTCCTTCCCACCCAAACCCATCTGGGATTTTGTGGATTGGGAGTGCAGGCTCTGGCACTGAGGACAGGTGGTTGTGGAAGGGCCTCACCTTTTCCAATCTGTTTAAGCATTTTTGCCCTTATTTCCTTTGCTGAGACCCCACTCCCCAGGATTTTCTAGCTTTTTCCCTCTGGCTGCTCCCTTGGGAGGAATTTGCTTCTTTTTTCTCCTTAGGTAATTCTAGAAGCTGTGGATTGAGGATGCACGTTGAGGGTGGTTGGGKATGGCTGATTTTGCTGAAGTGCCACATTTTCCAGACCCCACCTCTGTATCTTTTGGGACCCTCCCCCAAATCAGTGCCCAGGGCTGGGGGTGGGGGATGCTCTGGTTACTCAGAGCTGTTTTGGGTGAGGTTTGACTCTCCCATTGCACCCCCAGGTTATGGCATCGAGCACGCCCAGTGCGTGCCCCCCTCCGAGTTCTCCGAGCCCAGCTTTATCACCGAGTCCTACCAGACCCTGCACCCCATCAGCTCGGAGGAGCTGCTGTCCCTCAAGTACGAGAGCGACTACCCCTCGGTGCTGCTGCGCGAGGCGCCGCAGGACGCGCTGCAGAACGACTACTTCTCCATCAAACAGGAGGTGGTGACCCCGGACAACATGTGCATGGGCCGTGCCAGCCGAGGTAAAACYGGGATTAAACCTGGGAAAAGCTGGGCTTAAATTCGGGGTTGGCCTGGCTTCCTGCTCCGCTCACCCTGCCTCCCCTGGGAATGGGCTCTGGGGACACCAAGGGAGCTGTACAGCCCTCTCCCAGCACCTGTTGGATTCCCTGGTGGCTTTGAGCCATCCCTGAATTTTTCTCCAGGGAAAGTTTTTCCTTTCCTCTCCTCCACTGCCTGTTTTTACAGCATCTGCAGAAATGCAGCAGTTCTGGTGCTGCACTTTGATGTCAGACTGGAGGGAAATGGAAATGAGCTTTTGTGTTATCAGGGAGGACAAACTGCTGGGTGCTGCTTGTACAAATCCCCTTTTTCAGGAGCCCAGGCAAAGCCCCACMAATTCTTCACAAGTTCTCATCAGGAATTGCTGTGCACGGCTCTGAAGAGCTTTGCACTCTATGATCCAAAGCCTTTATCCATTATCTCCAGGGATTTGATGGCTGCTCGTTTGAAATATTCTGCTGTAGGCAATTCCTGGGCTTTGTTAGGAGGTGCAGGGGAAGAGCTGAAGGAGCCCCTGAAAGCTCCTCTCCAAAGAGTTACAGATTCCTGTTAGCAACGGTGGGATTTAAACACCTGAGTGCTTTGKAGATCTGAGCCCAAAACCCTTCCCAATTAATGTTATGGGATTGGGAGCCCCATGGCCGAGTGCTTTGTGATCACATCAGCGCTGCCAGGCTGGGGATGGGGCTCTGCCTCTGTTCAAAGCAGAGTTTAATCCCTGGAGCTCAAAATCCCTTCCAAAGGGGATCGTTATCTCCTGATCCCAGGGAGGGAGGCTGAGGCACAGGGAGGAGATGTGACCTGAGTGGAATCCAGGTGTCCCCAGGCCCTCAATTCATTCTGGTTGAGCCAGGTTGGCTGTGACCAACTCAGCCCGTTTATCCTGAGAGGAGGATGGGGATGGGGATGAGGATGAGGATGAGGATGAGATGAGGATGAGGATGAGGATGAGGATGAGATGAGGATGAGGATGAGGATGAGGATGAGGATGAGGATGAGGATGAGGATGAGGATGAGCTGCCCTCCTGGGACAGCCAGAGCTGCTCTCCAGGGCTGCCTCACACATGCAGCTCATCGGAGCTTTCCCACTCCTTTTCCAGGCTGGGAGAGACAATTACAGGGAATTTGTTATTTTAGTATATCTTTATATCTCTCTYCTCCTGAGAGAGCTGACCTGAGCCACAAGGGCAGCAGTGTTTTAATTTGGGGTAAACTTCTCTTTTTGGGGCTGTTTTTGTGCCTCAATTTCAGCAGYGCCTTTCCCTTTTCTTGCCCTTCTCTCTAACACAGGTGATTTCATCATCCTCACACTGCAATGGCTCAGGAAGGCTTTTGCAACTGCACCTCGAGCTTGTCCTCTGTGACAAACCCAAAAATGGTGTCAGGGCAGGGGAGAGAGAGCCCTTGGTGCTGCTGTAAGCACAGCCTTGAGCACTCAGACTGCAACAGTTCAGCCACAGAGGGGCCTTTGGGGGGCACAAATCCTCCAAGAGAGGGGAAAAAAGAGTTTTAATAGAAAGCAGAGCCCAGGTCATTTATATTCATGTCCATCTTCACCTTGTATTGTCTCACAAGGTGAGTCTGGCACAAAGTCAAGCCCTTCAGCATCACCTTGGGGTGAGAGTTTCCCACCCAGTCACCTCGTGTGAGGGTTTGAGAAGGGGATTTTGGGGTCCCACGGGAGTTGTTTCTCTCTGCCCCATCAGCGAGGGTGTCTGATTGGAAAAGTGGAGCTGCTGAACTCTTTTAAACCTCTCCTGAGTGAGTGCAGGGTGTGATTGTTTCAGCCAGCTGGAGTTGAGGTGAATTTTCAATGGATTGACACAAATCACATCTCTGTCAGGTTTTGAATTCCTTTTCTCAAGGAGCCTGTGCTGTGGCACTGCTCAGGGATTGGTTTATTAATTGRTTATGCCAATTAATGCACACACCCAGCAGTTCTGTGCTCTCCTCAGCAAGACTCGGGGAAGGACTGGAGTGGAAAATTCTCAAAAAAACAGACAGAAAAAAGAAAAAAAAGTTTGAAATGGGGCTGTCCCAGCAGAGTGAAGCCAATGGATCACAACTCCCAACAATTCCAGGCAGCAATCAGGGCAGGAGCTGAGTTTTTCACAGCGAATTCTCTTCAAACTACAGCACAACAACTCTTTGGGGGCGTGTGCCAGCCCTTCCACGTTCCCCTTCCCCTGGGATCTGCTCTTGGGGCCCGGGCTGCGGGTGGCTGTGCCAGTGGAAATTTATCCAGGAGCTCTTGCACAAYCCCAGCAGCTGTTTTTAGCTGGGTTTGGGAAATTAGTGAACTTGAATGATCTTGTTACACTCAGAGCTCGTCAGGAAAGATGTTGAGCAATCGGCAGCGTGGGGAGATCAGAGGCAGCGATTCTGGTTTTTTCTTTGGGTCCTTTTTTAGCTCTGTCTCAGCCCAGAGGCTGCACAGGCRGGCTCTGGGGGTGTAAATCAGCTCTGCTGAGGATCTGACCTCCCGTGTTCTGGCTTCCACTAAAAATACCCCAGAGAGTGACTTTGACACAAGGCAGCTGTGCTCACCTTAGCAGAGCTGGGAAAAGCCCTTGGAGCTCCCAGCCATGGGCTCTCCTCCTCCATCCAGCCTGCTGCTGGCTGGGGATTTGGGGCTGCTTGGAGCAGATGGCAGCAAAAGGCTGCTCTGTGGGCTTGGAAACATCAGAAGAGAAGGAGCTGGGTGTGTCCCAGCAGTGTTTGAATAGGGCTGGCAGATGTAATGGGGGATTTACTGGGGTGCCCCAAAATCCCTCAACAGCAAGAGCAGGAAAATCACAGCAATCAGAGAATCAYAGAMRGGACCTKAACAYTGATTCCACCCCCTGCCATGGGCAGGGACRCYTYCCACTGTCCCAGGCTGCTCCAAGCCCTGCCCACCCTGGCCTTGGACACTCCAGGGATCCAGGGGCAGCCACAGCTYCTCTGRGCACCCTGTGCCAGGGCCTGCCCACCCTGTGAATAAAGAGGTCCTGCAGTGCCCATGTTCAGGCTCCTGAACTCAGAACTGARTATCTGAAGTGAATTCTTTCTGTGACTTGGCCTTTTGGAAACAAGAGACCATTCCCAGTCAGCCCCAAGCCTCATTCTTGGGCAGAACAGCTGTGTTTGGGATTTTTCCATCTCTCTCTGCCTTCCTCTTCTGCGTGAAGTTTTCCAGGGCTCAGCCCTGCTCTGTGTGACAAAGGTAACCAAAGTCTCAGGTGTGGGCTGTGCTTCCCTGGGAGATGGGGCTGGACAGGGCCAGCACCCACAGCCCCATCCTGGCAGGGTTAGTGCTAGGTTTAGGGTTAGGGTTAGGGTTTGGGTTAGGTTTAGGGTTAGGGTTAGGGTTAGGTTTTAGCGTTAGGGTTAGGTTTAGGGTTAGGCTTGGCCTGTCTCACCTGCTCTGTCCCTCCAGGGTTAGTGTGAGGGTTAGGGTTAGGATTAAGGTTAGAATTAGGGTTTAGGGTTAGGGTTAGGGTAAGGGTTATGGCTAGGGTTAAGGTTTTAGGTTAGGGTTAGGGTAAGGGTTATGGCTAGGGTTTTAGGCCAGGCCCCTCTCACCTGCTCTGTCCCTCCAGGTAAGCTTGGTGGTCAGGACTCGTTTGAGAGCATCGAGAGCTATGACAGCTGTGACCGCCTGACGCAGTCGTGGAGCAGCCAGTCCTCCTTCCAGAGCCTGCAGCGCGTCCCCTCCTATGACAGCTTCGACTCTGAGGACTAYCCTGCCACCCTGCCCAGCCACAAGCCCAAGGGCACCTTCAAGGACTATGTGCGGGACCGKGCCGACATGAACAAGGACAAGCCTGTCATCCCTGCTGCTGCCCTGGCCGGCTACACAGGTAGGGCCACCCAACCCTGGGAACTCCTCTGTGCCCTCAGCACCTCGGGGAGCAGCTCTGGGCTGCCCCAGCTCGGGAGCTGCTGCAGGGGCTGATGGGGAGGRTTTGGGGAGRTTTTGGRGTCAGMMCAATGCATCAGGCACCCCTGGGTGGCATCTCATTGGAGCACCCCACTCCTTTTGGGAGCTGTGGGGCCTGGCTGGGATGGCCTGTGCTCCAGTGCCCATGGGTGGCTCTGGCAGAAGCTGGGTTGCATCTGATCTGGGGATGATCTCTGTGCACAAACCCTTTCCAGGGCTGGGGCTCAGATCCTCCAGCCCCTGTGGCCTTGGTGGGTTTGGTTTTGTCCCTGTGGGGCTCAGAGCCCCCAGCCCCTGTGGCCCTGCTGGGTTGGGTTTGGTCCCTGTAGGGCTCAGATCCTCCAGCCCCTGTGGCCCTGCTGGGTTGGGTTTGGTCCCTGAAGGGCTCAGAGCCCCCAGCCCCTCTGGCCCTGCCAGATCACTGTGGTCACTTGGCCGTGGTTCCCCCTGGGGCAGGAGCAGTTGCCCCTCCAGCCCTGCTGTGTGTGCTGGGGGCTGCTCCTGTGCCCCCTGGCATGGGGGGAGCCCTCGCTGTGCCCCYCACCTTGGGGTGGGGCAGGGGTGGGGCACAGCCAACGCCACCCCAAACTCTTCCCACTCCCTGTGCTGGGACAGAGGACAAGGTGACAGGGAACTTGGGCTCCTGAATCCCTTCAGCATCTCCATGGGGAGAAACCTGGTGGGATGGGGCTCCCAGCTAAAGCTGAGCTCATCCACTCCAGCCCCTCCATGCCACAGCTTTTCCCTGAGCTCTGAGGAAATCTCTGGGGCAGCCTCCTGCCAGCTCCATTGGCTCTGCACACTCAGATCTGTGCTGCCCCAGCTGGAGCAGCTGCTGGAAAGGGTTTGTGCAGA